AGAGAGAGAGAGAGAGAGAGAGAGAGAGAGAGAGAGAGAGAGAGAGAGAGAGAGAGAGAGAGAGACGCAGGGAAGGTTGTCATATTGAGTAATGTGCCGCGGACAGTAGTGTGGCTGCGCTGGCGCTGTGGTTTTGACCTAGCGCCAGCTGTCTATTTGTGATTATCAGTGACACAGTCGTGAATGCTGTCTTCGTTGTATATGTTTGACTGCCATGTTCCTTGCACCTTCTTTCTAACTCTCGATTGTCTGGTTCCTCGTTCATGCAACGCTTTTGCCCACGCTTGTCAGAACAATCCCCGGTTATGAGAACATACGACCCCTCTTTCCGTCTGTCTTGCTCGCTTTTTCTTCACTTTTGCATCCAAAATGAGGTACAAATCCGCTAATCCACGACACGAGAAAGGTAATAAAGTAGCATAGTCTTGTCTCGTGGACCGGGACGAGGGCGTTTATCTCATCGTCGCTCATGGCGACGATAACGATGATAGCGACGGGCAAGTGCAGACGATGGTATCAGTAATGCCCTCGATGATGGAATGGGAGCCTGCGATATGGTGATTGAATGATATCTGCTACGAATAATGTGGATGATTAGATAGTATCTGCTACAATGACGATAATATGATGGTGACTAAGTTTTGTCTGCTATGATGGTGGTGGCGATGGCGACGGGGCAAATCTCTGAGTCCATCTCGGAGTGCATTCGACAACCTGAGAGTGCAGGCCGAAGGTGGGGGTAAATCTCAGAGTAGATCTGGCAGTGGGATTTTCGGGCCGTCGGAACCAATCGTCGGGGAAAGGGTGTTTCTCAGTTCAGCTAATGATACCTGAGGAGATTGATTGATATAGGGGTGGTGGGGATGTTATCAACACGAGGGCGACGAAGGTGTCGACGTTACGTAATTTCGTCAGGGATGCGACAATCAAGGATGTCAAACGTGGCAGTGAATGACGATGGCTATCGATCGCGATGTCGCCCTCCTGATTACGCAATTGTGAAGTTGATTAATGGATGATACACGTGGCATGCGTGAACGGATGCGGTACTGATAGAGCGCTGATGAGGGATGTCGAATGGAGAATGGAGACTTCCGACAGTGATGAGGTGTGACGACGACGGTCTCGTTTGCGCCGACAGCGACGATATTTATCGTATTTACTACTAGTATTATGAGGTCGAACGATGAGAGGTGGTCCGTACATGTGACAGAGAAGGAAGGAGGAGATGGGCGACGAGGTAAGTGAAGGGATTGCATGATTTTGTGGCCGATTTTTGTGGATGATTGGTGGTATCTATGAGGACAGACTGGTAGCAAGACAGGTAATGAAGCGATGTTGAGGAAATATCGAGCAGGAAGGCGCGTCTGACAGGAGTGTGGTTTGTTTGGGGAGACGATGAATGGTTAAGAGTAGAGGCTCGTCAGAGTCGGAATTGGAAATACGATATCAGGCGATTTCAGGCGATTTCCTGATTGGAGCAATCCCGACGACAGATGTGATGACGGGAATCTGGACGGTTGCTGCAACTACGACAATGGAAAGGATAAATGGATGGAAGGAGGTATGGGCGACAGACGACAATGGAAAGGATTAATGGATGGAAGGAAGGAGGTATGGGCGACAGCGGTAGCGCTTATATGCTCTGATGGCACCTATCTCGGCAGTGCAGTGACGTCGAAGAATTGATTGATTGATTGAATGGTAAGTTAGTTCAAGGCTGCTGATTGAACTTAGGGGTGTTTTTTGAGATTGACGATCGAGCATTGATGGATGTCAGAGGCAGAGATGATCGGACCGTGATGGATTTTTCCTGCAGGTTGGGACACGATAAAGAAGAGGGCCGTGAAAGGATAGACGAGCACGAACGGAACGATGAGGATTGCGTGCGACAATGACTGTGAATTCATGTGATGAAGAGAGTGATACGGCGGAGCTGCAAAAGCAGTGGGAGAGTGATGATGAGCGATGTGAGCGGCGAGTGAGATGATGGAAAAGCGGCGATGATAAACTGAGGAAATCCATTATGTTTTCGATAAAGAAGACCTGAAAGTAATTGTGAAACAAAGGCACGGAGGTAGGGTAGGGGGTTATACCCAGGGTTGCCAAAATGCGCGGGGGGGGGGGTGTCTGCAAGATGGTGTTTGTCCAAAGAGCGACTATTTACGGACGTGATTGGACCACGTCAGAGGAGTTCTTATCGTGATAAGCGTCGGTGGCGGGAAGTGCGATCAGGATGAGTAGAGCCATATTAGGTAGAGATTCTTATTCAGTCGCAGTGAACGAGTCTGCATGGTTATGATATCCAAGTACACACTGAAATTCGCGCTGAGGAGGTGATGATCTGTCTAAGAGAAAGCGAGAGCACACTGAAATTCGCGCTCGCGCGCGCGGACGCGCACGCCCTCACATTCCCCCCACGCCCGTCGTGTGAAGATACGGCGAGCGACGTGCGCAGCTCTTGTTGCCTTCACGGAAAATGAGGCTGCCTGGCGGATGTTTGTAATGAGGCTGCTGCCCGTATGGCAGAAAGAGGAGTAAGGGGGGGATGATGCCGGAGGCGAAAGTCTTCATGCACGGATGTTGATCCGTCTTTCACCAGAAACATCAGGAGGAAATCGCGTGCAAAGCATCGGATTGGCGGATGTCGTTGTGCCAGAGAGGAAAAAGAGCATATGCGAGCTTGTCAGTGGTCGTGAGTTTATCGGGGGATAACAGCGCGTGTGCGGCGCTGTTGCTCGCTCCTTGACCGCAACGTGAAGTAGAGGGAGTGTTCAAAACGCAGGTCGACAAAAGTTAACGCAGCTGCAGTGTTTGCCTCGCGGGCTTTCCCGCCCACGGGCGCTCTTTGATTGGAGGTTACTGTTTTTTTTTTCTGTTTTTTTTTTTCTTTTCAAATTCTTATCTGTGAGCAAAAATGAGTTTATTATTTGTTATTTCTCATGGGAGGAATGCTTTTATCCAATCAAGGAAGTGGAATTCTTGTGATCTTACCTAACGGTCTCCTCTTGTGCGCGTTTGAGTGAGATTCTATCTCCATGTCGTGGTGATTCTCGAACAATTGTGTCCCCTGGCGGCAAAACGTTCTCTCTGCTCCTTGTGCTCTCTCTCTCTCTCTCTCTTTTTCCTTCCTCTTATCTTGCCGTTTCGTCTTCTCTCTCTCCTACTGTTATGAGGCTCTCGCGCTACATCTGCTCTACTATCTCTCTCTCTCTCTCTCGCGCGCGCGCGCCCGGGCGCTTCTGCATTTTGGATGCTCTGGAGCGTGGACGCGTGTTCGTGTTTGAGTTTTACTTGCGCGGCACAGCCGCGCCAGACGTCCTGTCCTGAATTGCAGAAAAGTGTCCACTATTGCGAATCCGGATGAGGAATGCCCCTCCTCTGTTTCCTGGACGTTCTTAGGTCTTGTCGGCCGTCTGCTGTTCGCTTTGTCTGCTGTTTTGTTTGATAACAGACATGTCTATTTTTGTGTTTTCTAGTACTGTGAGAGTAGCTGGTGTCCTTGAAGGGATGAACCTGGCTTCGTTAATGGAAGTTGGGAGTAGTTAGTTCTTCTGTCGATTTACTATTGCTCAGATCAGGTTGACTTTTACATGCGCGGTTGGGGGGAGGGGAAAGGGGCTTGGGGGGGGGACTGCGAGTAGTCTAGGGGTGTGCAAGGTGGAGGGAGGGACAAATCTGTCAAGTTACTTATTGGCGCTGTTGTTGTTTGAGGAAAACACATTTTTGTGATGTGGGCCAGGAGACTGGACGGTGGACTCGTGTGCGTGCGTGCGTGCCTGAACAATTTCACTTTCGTTCGTGCAGGGATATATCTACACACGACAACAAACAATGCGCTGTTTGTGGACACCTCGCGGGGTGAGACACTGCAAATCAATGTAAGTGCCGGGCTCCCTTTTGTCCACGAGGCTCAGATACCTGTATTTCTCGACGTCTCCATTGTATGGTGAAGTAGCAAGATACGGTGTGAAATATATATTTGCTTACGCTTTCAGTGCAATCGCGGATTATCAACGAGCTGTGTTCAGAAATTGGGTCGCTCTGTGTGTGTGTGCGTGCGCTGGTATGCGTATGTGTGTGTGCGAGAGAGAATGAATGTCTGTGTATGTCCGCGTGTGCGTGTATGCGTGCGCTCGTATGTGTCTGTGAGATGGAAGAGAGTGTGTGTGTGTGTGTGTGTGTGTGTGTGTGAGAGAGAGAGAGAGAGAGAGAGAGAGNGAGAGAGAGAGAGAGAGAGAGAGAGAGAGAGAGAGAGAGAGAGAGAGAGAGAGAGAGAGAGAGAGAGAGAGAGAGAGAGAGAATACTTAGGCTGTCGTTATTGATTTTAGCTGGCAGATGACCAGGATGTCCGGTTATGTCGGGTCGTTGGCCGGATGATCTTATACAGAGTTCCGTGATTTACGGCTGTGCATCATGGAAGGTATCCATCATAACATTGAGGATCGTGTGAGCACTGCGTCCCGGTCTGAAGGCAGGCGAGTAAGTGGAAAATCAGGTTTCACGAAAAAATAGGTTCGAAATCATTGAATCGTCAATCAAAGAAGTTGATTCATCCTCTGACAGCTTGGCTGAGCGTGCGACTGACTGAGAGCTTTTCTGGGTGTACGCCGTGGTTGCCGCAGCTGAACATCACCTTCCCTCATCTGGCGTGTACTGTGTTGAGTTTAGACGCAATGGACATCAGTGGTGAGCAGCAGCTGGATGTGGTAAGTGTCTTTGTTTATGGAATTGGGTGGTTTGTCCAAGATAAATGTACGTGTGGTAGTTGGGATCGTGTCCGTCGAGTTTAAGCCCTTGCAAGCAGATGCAATGGTGGGGGAAAGTGGAAAAAATAAAGAAAGGGGTCACCACGTAGCGGGGTTTTGTTTGTGATCATGTTCTTTTTTCTTTTCGTTGTCGGTGTGTGGGTGAGGGGGTAATGAAATGACACAGCTTGTCCGTGTGCCCATTCTAATTGGGTGATGCGGTGGATGGCCGTCTTCAATGTGTTGGCCAGAACCATGATTGTCTTGGTCGAAGCAAAAATCTAGTATTCATTCCCTGCATTCTGATCACTTTACTCTCTGCAGCTGGTTTCTCAAATTCTGGACTGATAGAGTAGATCAGCAGGGGCTGGTGACTCTCTCTGTTGCAAGTACAGGTGGGTTACCTGTGGAGATGTGCTGTTCTCTCTTATAGACATCCTCCTTCCCCATGGAATTCTCTCTCTAGCGACTTTCCTACTCCCCTCCTCCCCTTTTCCCCCCCTTCCTTTCCCCGTTCTCCCTCTATACCCACCCACTTGCCCATCACCCGCAGTCTACTGATAGCAGTTTATTGAGCACTGCGTGGGAGACAGTTCATTGACTGTATGTGTATGAAATGAAGGCATAAGGAGTTGAGCAGGAGTGAGAAATTGCAGCTGAAGTTGGTTTTCTGGCTGTGTAAGTGCCCGCGATGCGGGGGGAAGGGGCGGGCGGGGGAAGACAAATGGGAGTGGGGTTAGCGATTGTGTGCATGCTCAAATGTTCAAGACGATGATTGTGACTCAAGAAGGATATGTTTTGGAGAAGTGTGGCCGGCTGTAATTCTGCACTTCGCATCCTAGTGGATTTCTGCTTTTGTATCTGTGCCGACCTGTGATGAAACTCCTCCCCTCTTGCAGATCTCAACGTGCTCGGAGATTCCACTAGAATGCAAAGTGCATGCAAGTGGGGATTTTTGCTTTTGTGTCTCAGAGCGCACCACTTGCATGATTGGGCTCTGCTCTTGTGAATCAAAATGTGCTCTGATAACCCTTTAGTGGATTGCTGCTCGTGTCTCAGAGCCAAGTAGTCGCGTGATGGTGGTCCCCACTTGTGGATCTTAGGGCATATTCACGCTAGCACGTTTGCCACATCTCTGTGGACGTTAGCACGTTTTCCACTTCTCTGTGGACGGAATTGCGGCCAGGTGCATCCAGGTCGGGTCAGAAAAGCAGTCATATTCATCCAGGAGAGTCCCTAGTGTGAGTATGCCCTTATTGTGCTCCGGGACATGTCTCCTGCAAATTCCAGCTTGTTCCATAGGTGCCGTGAACAGGAAGGACCAGACCCTGAGCAGGGCTGGGAAGAACAACTGACACCGTTAGAAAAGAGGATGGATCAACGGCAGTTGGGACTTTACATGGGTTGTGAACGTTCTCTCGTGGCTTTGATGTATTTGTTGTGCTATCCGGGGCCATTTTCGTATCTCTCTTCTGCGGAAGCATTCTCACACCTTGCTTTTGTCTGTACCACAGGTGCACAACATATTCAAGAGGAGGTTGGACCCCACCGGTGTACCCATTGATACAGCGACGAAGGATGTTATTGGAGGCGAGGTGGTAAGCATCTAGCTTTTTTTCTCCTTACCTGCCCCTTCCTCCCCCCCTTCCCTTCCCCTTCTTTTTCTGGTGTTTTCTACCACCTGAGGTGATCGTCTTTTCTCCTTGTGCTGGCGGAAGATGTCAAAACCCATGGGAATACAGGAACGAGTACATAGGAATACAGGAATGAGTTTTTGAGTACATGGGAAAACAGGCAAGCATTATAATCCATTGTTGAGGGTGCATAAATTCGGACTAGGCAGTAATGTGCATTGTTGAGTGTGAAAGTCATATGTTTTGTGCTATTCTCTGCCCTCCGGTTTTCTCTCTAGATGTATTGATTGGACGCTGGTAATGGTGATGAAGATTAAGTAGCAGACGAGTGGTTGTAGTCCGTTATGATGGCATCGGTTGGAAGGGGCAGGAATGTGAATTCGTGAGTGTGAAGCAAGGAATATGTTTTGTGTTATCTCTCTGTGTATCTGTGCCTGACAGCTTTGTACTCACACGTGTAGTCATGGGGATGAGGAATGGTACCCAGTAGGACGTCACGAGTCATTGTCAATGTGTGCTTGTCCTAGATACTGACCTCGTTATCTTTTCCCTTGTTCTCCATGTATCCATGTCTGAATGGTATTTCGTTATGTTGACAGATAGAGAAACCAAAGGACAAACATGGGCGAGAGTTCCTGCCAAATGAGACCTACTGTGGCAGTTGTTATGGGGCAGAGGAGGTGAGTGGTCAATTGCACCTAAGAAACTGACATGATGGGTCATTTTTGGCAGTTTATGGTGGACGGTATTATTGGTGTGAGTGGACCTCTTTTGGGGTTCGATTGTGTTGATTCTATCATTGCTGTTTGAATGTTCCTGCCGAGTTTGTTTCCCTTGCAAAGTGGTATGCATTGTTGGTATGGTTGCAGTATCTTTCTCGGTTTTATTCTATGTTGTTTTTATCATCGTTATTCAATTTATGTGTTGGTCGTTTTGGGGTGCAAGATCCCAATCCTGGCATGAATCCTGGCAATCATGTGTGCCCTGATTCTCTCTCTATGTTATGTGGCTACATACCAGTACAAGCCATTGGTGGAGGACACTGAAAAGGGGACTGGAAGGTCGGTCTAGGCTTCTGTTTCTCATGTCCTCTTGCTCTTCATTCTTCTCTATGCCCCAATGCTAGCTCGAAGCAAGTTGGGAGATGGAGAAATGCATGCGAACAGTGTTATTGACTTCTGTTGGATAGGAGGAATTCATGTCGAGGTCCTCACGGGAGACTGGTGGTGGCCTCGTTCTATTCACTGATGCTGGCCTCATGGTTCTCCTTTTTTGACGACTCTCTTATGTGGCTAGAGCTCAGACCAGTGTTGCAACACCTGTGATGCGGTCAGAGAGGCGTATCGGAAGAGGGGATGGGCCTTCGCTCAACCGGAGCTTGTAGATCAGGTAAACCTCGACTTTCTGCCTCAACCTACTGACTTAGGCATACCTGTGACAATATCATCTCTCTGTCTGCTGCCTCTCATGTGCCAGTTTTCCTCCCTGCCAAGCGGGCTAGTCTTATCCTGCACATGGACAGCTTTCTGGGTATCCCTTCACAAAGGTGATCCCCCCTCCCTGCCTTCCCTCTCCACTCACCTGCTCTTTCTCCTGTTACCCCCCCTCAGGCAAAGAGTCCTGCAACATGTCAGCAGTGGAACGTTTTGCTTTGACTCCTCTCTGTTGATGTGTTGTTTGCTGGTCGGAGGCTCATATGTACATGTGAATGCCTGTTTCCCAACCCCTCCACTGTCACTGCAACGTTCTTCTGACTCATATACATGGGCATACTTGGTGAGTTAAACTTGAGAATGGCAAACAAGTGATGGATACTTTCCCTTTTGCTTGGAGAGAGAGAGACATTTCAACGGTTTGACTTGCATGTTGACATTTGCGAAACTTCAAGCAATTTACTAATATATCATTCATACAAACTTGATTGGAAGCAATTTACAATTAATAGATTACTGCATGCAAAATTATCACACCATTGAACTTCGCGAGTCCAGAAAAAAAGTACGGTTCACATAGTGACGGATACTTTTCCTTTTGCTTGGAGAGAGAGAGAGACATTTCAACGGGTTGACCTGCATGTTGACATTTGCGGAACTTCAAGCAATTTATTAATATATCATTCATACGAACTTGATTGGAAGCAATTTACAATTAATAGATTACTGCATGCAAAGTTATCACACCATTGCACTTCGTGAGTCCAGAAAAAAAGTACGGTTCACTTCGGCTCCTGGCTGTCCTGCGGGGGCTTCAATGCTGAAAACAGCACAGTATGAAGCCAGGATGCATTAGTCTATGGCTGCACCCTGACTCCTGCCTTTCAGGTGCTCTATGGCTGCACCCGGACTCTTCCCTTCCAGGTGCTAAAAATAGCACTGCTTCTTGTTCTCATTGCGGAGAGCTTCAATGAAAATTGTAACTTCTGTCAAATCGATTTTGCGTGGACCTAACGAGTCTTACCTGGGTCTGATCTAGAGAGGTCTACGTATCCAGGGACAGCTAACTGCGAGCATTCAGCACCGCGGTTAACCAGGAAAGGGCCTGCCTGTCCTGAGAGAGGGAGGGTCCGCAAAAGATGAGTTCAGGCCAATGTAAGCAGAATTGGGGACCCAAGTAGTTGCTGGACACGTGCAGCATCTTCAACTAACCGGTAGGCAGAGTCCACGAGTTACTTGAAGATGCTGGGCCTTGTGCAGATTCTTGAAGGGCCCAGGGCGCAGGAAACTGGGATAGGGTGCAGCCTGGGAACAGGCCCCTCACCCTCTCCAACCAAGACAAAAGCCTGGAGGGCGCCCTGCATTCGAAATTCAGGCATTCTGGCAATGCGGCAGCGCTGCCTGAGTGGACTTGAAGGGCCCAGGGCGCAGGAAACTGGGATAGGGTGCATCCTGGGAACAGTCCCCTCACCCTCTCCAACCAAGACAAAAGACTGGAGGGCGCCCTGCATTCGAAATTCAGGCATTCTGGCAATGCGGCAGCGCTGCCTGAGTGGACACTTGTGCCCAAGGAGGAAGCTGCACGGTGGCAGCAAGATGAGGAAGGAGAAGGGAGACCGACAGCCATAGCCGGGCTGCTTGCTCCATAGCCAGTGGTGGAGTAGCAGAAGTCGTTGGTGGAACAGGGAGTGTAAGAGATTCAGTGTGGCGAGGCATGTATCTGGTGTTGATGAGCTTGGCGGGACAGCCACCTGTAGGAGGGCTACATTGTTCTTCTATATGTGATTGGAAGGTTCGAAGGGCTTTCATTATCAAGAGACTTCAGTGCTTTGCTCGTTCATATTTGGTGTGGCTCTCACTTTGATTTGTGCTTTCAATTTCAGCTCAGTGATGTCTGCACTTCTGTGAGATGTCGCTATTTGGCTATTGCTGTTCACATAGCTTATATTTCCTTGCATAACAGTATCTCCACGTATAGGTCCCAGGTTCAGACCTTGTCAGCAGCAAACGCAAAAAAAAAAAAAAACCCGGTAAGAATAGAAAGAACCCATACAAGCTGACTCACACACAGTGGCCTCATGGGCCACCTGTGGAGACCGCATGGGTGGGTGGGAAATTGCATCGAAGGTAGAAATACTACCTGGGGCAATCCAAGTAGTCCATCCAATGACTAGCAGGTGGGAGTCGAATGGGATTAGGACCACTTGACTGGCTGGTCGTCTCTAGGCAGTGTATAGACATCGAGGTATTCTCATAGTCCCGTGATCAGGGTCCTCAGGCCCACCAGGGGACCAATCAAGGGTAGGCTATGAGATGGTCATAGGGGTTGGAGGGACTACTGTCTTCACCCGAATAGCTGTATTTGGTGCATTTTTCAGTCCACATTCAGTGATAATGATCGGGCGTTCTATTCGGGTGAAGAAGGTAGTGGAGAGGATGCGGATAAAGTGCAGCTTGGTTAAGGACTTGTACTGAGCCTATCACCTGAGTTAGTGGAAAGGATAGGTGGTATTTGGGGGGGGGGGGGTAGGCCTTCTTCTCCTGTCCGAGGAGGGATCGGCCAGGGATCTGCTAGTCAATGGTTGGGGGACAAAGCTGCATAGAGTGGGCCCGCAATACATCCAGCTGGAGGTTAGGATCTGTGGGGACAGAACCCGATCTCTGGTGGCAAGCTGTTAGGTGTGGGAGGGACACGACTTGTGATAGGACCTAGGGCTCTAAGCCCTTTGGGGACTCCGTCTAGGAAAGTCCAGAGGGCCAAGTGGGTCATTCCAAACTTCGAGCGGCTGAACCCCCGGAAAGTATTCTCGCACCTGATACCCTGCCTCTGGGTGTTAAAATAAAAAAGAAAAAAAAAAGATCCCGTACAGAACACAAACAGGAAATGATACAAATCCTAACTCAATCCTATACTTGAGAGTATAGGATTTAGTTAGGATTTGTATCATTTGAAAAAGAAAAAAAAAACTTTTTTTGAAAAAATTATGAGTGAAAACCTCATAAATAAACATAAATTGAATTACCAATAGTTCAGTTGGGGTCACTAAATTTAGAAACGAGTCTCTTGTCGGTAGGACAATAACAGGCTTGCAATAGAATCTAGGCAAAGGGTACAGACGATTGGATGGGGCTTTAGGGGTGGTAAAGGTTGTGAAAGGCTTACATAGGAACAGGGTAGACTGTATGCGTGAGGTAGACCTGTGCAGGATTGCAGTAGGCAGATACTAGGCAAGGCGGGATTGACATGCAAACAGTCGATGATTGGTAAGCGGCCACAGAGACTGCGCTGAACCCCCCCCCCCCCCCCCCCCCCCCCCCCCCTCCATGCGCCAAGCCCCATGGGGATTGCCCTACTGTGTGTCTGGGTACTCGTAGTAAGCCTCCTGGCCAGTAGGGCAATCCACTGTAGAGGGCCAAAGGTTTGGGGGTGGGGTGCACTGAAGCTGCCCCGCCCTTGCTCAGGCTGGTAGTGCCACATGGGTTGGGCTGCTCCTCCTCCCATCTTCTTTTCTACCCCACTTTGTACAAACATGCTGGGGACAAGTAACCGGACTGCTGCCCCCCAGGAAGGGGCCTGTGTGTTGGAAAAAAAAAAAAAAGAACCCATACATTAGGGCAGTCACAGGCTCAGATCCTGCCTAAACCCAGCATGCAGATGTTATCATAGTTCATGTTTCTCCAATGGATTGGTGGGGCCTGAAATTTCCTTGCTTTTTTTTTATTATTAATAAAATAAAAAAAATGCAAGCTGCTGCGAGGCCCTAAGCCTCGGCAAGCCCTATCCAGCATGCATGGGCGCCCTAAGTGAAGGCGGACCTGCCAAGTGACGAGAGGCCTATTTTTGTGTTGGTCGTAACTGGGGGAGACAGTTACGCAGCACCAGTTGGTTGAGCGAGCCCAGGCCCTGCCTATCGACATTACGGGGCTTCAGGCCTTTTTCCCGAATGAATCGGAGGCAGCCCCTGGGCCAGACATGGGGCATGAACTGAACACAGGCCGCTTGGTAGTTGGGCACGGGTAACCACCCCAGACCTTGTGGAAGATTTCCTGGGACAGGGGCTCAGCCACTTGGGGTCTGCCAGAAGTATCCGGGGAGAGGCCCAGGCCAGCTAGGCATCCCACGACAAGCAGCCACTTTCCATAAAGGAAAGGGCCTGGCTGCTGGCTGGACATTCGGGCACTTGCTGCTTAGCGTGCAGTGAGGAGGGTGAAGGCAAGCAGCTGACCCAGGAGGAGAGGGGTATCGCCAAGAAGGCTGTGTGGTGATATTGGGTGTTTTGCAGTGTGATGACAACTATCTGATGTGCGATTGATGCTGAGGTGTAACGGCAGTATAATGTTGATTGTGCCAAGGCAATGGTTGGTCATCGCAATCCACGTCAGGACATCTGGTGAGAATGTTTGTGGTTGGGGGCAGGTATTTTGAGGTACGTTGCTCTTAACCTTATCTACCGTCTTTGACACTTCTTACTGTGAGGATGTGTGTTCTGTGAGGATGTGTGTTCTGTCTTGAGAGTCCTCTCATGTGAGGAGTCGAGTGCGGTCAACCTTGAGAGTCGGCATTGTTCACATGGAGCATCTGGAAGGAGAGGGCGTTGCCATCTGAAGGGCCCTGGACGAAGCACTGGGTCACGGTCACTATGCCAACCCACCAGGAGTAGAACACGCATGCTTTGCTGCTTTGTCCTTTGTCTGCCTGCTGCGCTATAGATAGGTCATGAGGGGCAGGCGAGCTCTACAGGGAGACAAGAACCAGATGTCTTTAAACAAGTACCGGCGGGTTACGTTCCATTGGCTGTGATCGTCGTCCTGTCTGCGGCGTTAAATATTTCTTTTTTGGGGGGCTGTCCTTAAACTGCCTCTTGATCAGCCAATCGGTCGGTGTAAGGCTCGCTGCACGCGAGGATAAAAATAGTGCAGGGCTGGCCAGTTCAGCATTGACTTGGTGCACAGGGG